AAATTTTTTGAACGAATCGATAGTGCCAATTTTCGATAGCATGGAAAAATAGTATAAGGAGTGTAAAAAATGGCTGATGTTTTAGCTCGGTACGTTTTTTTCCTTATAGCTCGATCAAAATGAGCGTTTGTACCTTCAAAGTGTACTTCTTGACAAAGCGATTACCGGTCTCAGACTTGTTTTTTATTACAGATTACGCATTCGGGACGATATCGAAAATGCACAAAAAATCGCAAAAAAAGTCGAAAAATCGTCGTTACTGGGGCTATACCAGTAACACAAGAGTTTTTAGGAGTAACTATAACAATCAAAACTGATTGTTATTGTATTTTAAAAAAGGTTGAATCAATTTATAAGGGTTCGGTACGTTTTATTTCGTTCATTTGGCTCTAACTTCAATTTTTATTCGAGAAAAACGAAAAAATACGAAAAAACGGAGTTTGACGTTCTGGTTGCAGTAGAAAATATCATTTGCCAACGTCTAGCGAACGGCTGTTGTTTTGTTTGTGTAAAAGATAAACTTTGAACACTATTCCAAAGTGATCTAAAATTTTTCGCCTACTTCGCTCCACCCTAGTGTATATTTGCCACTATACTTGCAATATATCGGCGAATGATGCGCCCATATATTGCAAATATAAATCGCCAATATATTGCACATATATTGCCAATTGTTCAGATTTTTACGCGGGCTATTGGACGATCTAAATAGTTAAGGCCAAGACTATTAAAGTTAATACAATCCTGTAATTAATATTATAACAGTAACACGAATGACATATTTGAGTATAATTTTTATTCTAATGCTTTTGATGAATAAGTCGCTGATCTGTTGTCAAAGTCTCTGCCGAAAAAAAGAACATTAAATAGAGGCTTTAAAATTATAAGAAATGTCAAAAATTCTACAGACAATCAGACATAATATCATCACTACGAGGTCACTTTAAGAAGAATATATTACGCTGAGTTTAGTGAATCTAATGTAGTGCTCTAAGAGCTCATCACATGTGTGCAGCGCGTCTAAAACATAGTTTCTCAATACACGTACATTACGAGCAATATAGCAACCTGCACATACAAAGGGAAACTGCACACAGCTACTTGTGTATACAAAACACAATATTACCCTGTCATTGTGGTTTTTCCCAAAATTATAAAAAAAACGTTCGATTAAATAAAACTGATTACAGTCGAAAGTAAATGTTATTTTAGCAACGTTGCTTGTCAGTCTAAGGGTCCACCATAAATCAGCGTGAAGCAACCCTGGCTAACCCTTAAACTTGAAAGCACTATCGCCTAAATACCACTCTATATGTATCAAAAAACAGATATTCATATGCTTTCCTTAAAATTGATTAAATATTTGAGCTATTGATGAAATATGTTGCTCCTCAGTCACAGGATCCACCTTCAATGAGCATGTAGCAAATTAAGGCCAAACCTTAGACTTTAAAGCACTAACGCTTAATTATCACTCCAAATCTATAAGCAACAAAAATTTATTAAATGTTTGAGTTACATTGCTCGTCAGTCACAGGGTCCACCCTCAAACAGCATGAAGCAAATCAAGGCTAACCCTTAAACTTCGGAGCATGATTACTCAAATACCTCTCTAAATCTGCAAACTACCGGTAATACAAAAATTGTTTCAAAATTTCTTAAATGACTACCCAAAAATTAATTGAAATATATAAAACTAACTATAGGGGCACATGTACATTATAAATACGATAAAAATATAAATTTTAGACAATAATCATACGGAACTACATTGAAAAAAATCGATTAGTATCTACCTTAAGGGAAAGGATAAAGTTCTTTAATTAGGCAAACTTAGTAACTATTGTGTATTAATTATTTAACCTTATTGTGTAGTATCACGGAATTTATGCTCAAATAATGTTGAGATAAGATATTTCTTTTTTTTTTATATTTCTAATATCACCTCTAAACTTTTCTCTTACTTATTCAATAATCTCTACTACTCCCTACCGATTTTTTAAATAAAAAGCTCGTTTTAAAAATTTCAAAGCTATAAAAACAGTCAAAGAGTACCTGCAGTAACTATAAGTTTAATTTTATGATAAAAATTAAAATATAGTTACCGTTGCAGCGTTGTCGATCCATCCCATTCCGACACTTCGTTGCCTGTCGCGACACGTTCTCATCGCCGGAATCATCATCTACTCGTGGCCTCCTTATATTTTGACGATCTAGAAAAAAAGTTTAATAATTAAAATAATTATTTAATAATAATCTTTGTATATAAATTATATATTTGCATCGTACATACCAAGATTTTCAATACCAAGATCTTCGATTCGTACTTGAAGAGGTGCCAGCCGAATCCTCTCATCGGGTAGGACACCATTCTCAAATACGCCGCCTATAATATAAAATGTTCTAATGAGTACAAAAATTATTCAAAATTGATTTGATCATTTACTTACCAACTTGATCTTGGGGAACAAATGCATTTATTCCCAGACGGTGTAGCTCATCTATGACATTGTCGTCAATATCATCGCCTTGGTTATCATTTTCGACTGTAAATAGATAATGCTTAGTTTCTCATTTTTACTCAAATGAATAGTTATAAGAAATTTTTGATTACTTAGTGGAAGATGTCTGCTGCGACGTTGACGTTGGATGACCTACAGATATTGACGAATACCGAGTCTAGGTAATAATGATGAAATACATTAATAAAAGTTGTATTAACAAAATATTTACATATTCTTTAAGAAATATTTGTAGCGAACGTTTGACGTTCGCAACCACGTTCAGTGCGCAGCGCTGATGAAGAAGAAAAAAGCAAATGAAAAGCTCAGTCAATCGACAGCTTTGTTATAAGCAACAACTCATTAACCTACAATAAAGATATATAGAAATATTACATCTCCTCTCTCTTTATTTCTATATTTTGATGACCCCCTCATCCCGTTCATCACTCCTCATTTCCTTTGCTGTTCCCAATCATCATGGTTTTGGAGCGCGATGACAACGACCAACGCCGACTCGCTGAGCAGCAGAGATTTCTCGAGCAGCAGCAGCTCGCCGAACATAGTATACGAATATAACATGGTATACGAACTGATCAAACGTAGTTTCCAAAAGCGACAATTCACTATACAATGCCCTTCAGTTCTAATTTCAAGACGAACATTTTTTATAGTGTAAAGTAGTTTTTTCTTTACGAATAAAATCAAAAAATGAATTTTGTTTTTAACATTTAAATTTTTGACTGTTATGAATTGACAATAGAAACTTCTAAAAAATCATATGAACTGTTTGTTACTGTGGTAAAAAACATTATGAGTTAATTATTTCAGTTTAGAATATCTAGGTTAAGAAAAGCTTACAAATATTTTTTTGCATAAAAAATTTTTGTCAGGTAAAATAGACTCGAATCAATTTAAATTTATAAGAGTCATTTATTTTGTTGACAAAACATAATTAAATTTAATGTGCTGCATTTAAAAGAAAAATACAGTAAAGAGCGTTTTTATAATCAAAATTATTTGTAATTGTTTATTTTCTTGTACTATTTTTATTTATATCTTTTTATTTTTATGTAATTAATGTAACATTTTTTTCATTTCATAGTATTTTTCAAAAGGCGAAATCTGATCTTTCGATAAATTCATAGAATTTTCATTTATAACGAATTATTACTCATTACTGTTTAAGCAGTTTATAAATTTTAAAAAATTGACAGCAAATTTTATATTAAAAAAAAGGGGATAGACTTATTTTCTATTTATCCTTTTCTTTTTCGAAAGTGAATTTTATATATCATATTATTGATTTGCGACGGATCGTTTTGCTCACATTTTCACACGTACAAGCTATCATGAGTAAGCACATTTAAGACTACTGGCACAATAAGCGTTTGCGCAAGATCACATCTTTTGAATATAGTCTCAACTCAGTGAGGTGCAAATATCCTTAGTTACAATACGAAAGTCTTTTTTCATCGCATTCATAGTTGAAAAATATTGTGCAACACGGAAATCTGAATATTATTTAAAAAAGATACTATAATGGACTTACAAGAGTTTAGCTTTCGAGGCAAAGAAATGATTGATTATATATGCGAATTTATGAGCAATATACATAGGAGAAGAGTTACCCCTGACGTTGAACCAGGATATTTGCGACCTCTGTTACCTGCAGAACCTCCAGAACAGCCTGAATCATGGGAAGTTATAATGGATGACGTGGAAAAGAAGATAATGCCTGGCGTAAGTTTTTTTAGCTATATCAAAGTGACGAAGAAATTTAAAAAACTAAATTTTTATCATGCTACTGCAGTTACGATGAGAGAAAGTTTTAATCGAGACTGAACTTTACACTACGTTCGATTAATTTTAAATTATAACAAAGCTTGAAAAAGACAAAAATGAATAAATCGCATCTTTAATGTTAATCATTGATTATTATTTTCTATTTTCAGCGTGCTTTTTTAAAAATATTATTATCAGTACGATTTTTCTATTGTTAATGATTCGCACAAATGTATGATTGATAACTTTTATTTTGAAATAGATTTTTCTTCTACAATAAACTATATCTTTAGGAGAATAAACTATATAGATTTTATCAAAATTCAATGTATTATTTTAATTCTAATTATTATAGTACATTCATGTATCTTCAGTCACGTATGTCTCAGTTTATCTTGTAAAACATTTGATATAATTGATTCTATAACCCTAATACGATACATAAAGACGGTTGAATTTAATTTTTTGAGTCAAATAAGTCCTATCTAATTGAATTTCGTTCGATTGACTATTGGTCTTAGTCTCAACCTCAAATTAAGGGAGGAAAGTACCTAAAATCGAAAAAAAATTCTTTTTTTTATTAGCTTTTTTGATAGGATTTTTGCTCTTCTTTCCAGTGCAAATTTCAATCAAACTGAAAAAGGCAAGATACTTTCAATTGAGTATCTACACTTTTATATTTATCTTAGTTAAAATGAATACAACAACTCTAAATCAATATAAGCGTTTTTTAATGAGTCTGAGGACTTATTTAATAATTTTATAGTATTTTTTCAGCTTTTCTTTGCCATAAACAAAATTTTAAAATTCCAGCTCGATCGTAAGGTACAGTCTATTTAGTATCGATACTTTTATGTTTATTCTAGCAAAAATGAATAAAACTACTCAAAATTAATACAGGAGTACTTAAATGAGCCTAGGAATTGAATAATTGAAGAAGTTTTACTGGCAAATATAAGTGAGTGTAGGTAGCCACATATGCTAAGTATGAGTCTAAGGACTTTTTTAAGTTGATAGCGCCAGTGTCTAAACCTACGCTAAAGGTATTATTCAAACGAGCGTTCAACGTAGCTATTTCAACGTAGTATTTCAACGTAGCTAGATAACAATATGTTACTTTTGTTACTTTGCTTTTGCTAATGTACAACGTTCGCTTTCTAGAAAAAAGTTTTTTACCTTGTTTTTTATAAATAAGTGTAAAGTTAAAATTTTTTCTTGAGTGAGTAGGTGTTGGTGATTTTATTTTCAGAAAGATTTTTATTACTACAGATAATAAAGATAATCAAATCATAAGTATAGATAAAAATCGCAACTTTCTTGGGGAAAGTCATCGCCGAGACCGTATTTATACCTAGAGCATTAATCGCACAACCCGGTAGGATCATCTTGCGAAAAAACGAGGACTTCCTCAGGGAAAGTCATCGCCGAGCCTATACTGCGACCTGAGGCTCTGAGCGGGCCACCCTGGTTGATAGTTAACCCGTTTCGGGCCAAACGGACGGAATTTCCAACGATTTTTCCGGTGCTATAAACTTTGTGAAAAAATAGTTGAAAAATGTTTAAACAGTCATTTCTGACGTGAAATCATATGAACTTTTTGAATCCGGAGTCAGAATTGTCAAAAAAGTTGAGGAGCAGAAGTTATCAACAATTAAACAACAAAAAACACGATTTTTTTGAAAAAAATTTTGATTCGACCTCAATTTTCGAATCAAAAGAGACTTGATCCGTGAATCTAACATATATTTTTAGCGTCCATGGGGTGTAGACATAAAAGTCCAATAGTCACAATTTCGAAATTCAACATGGTGGACAGCAAAATGGCCTCGTAAAAAAAAACCATGTATAAACTTGATTAATTTTTTTTTAAGCTAACCAAGCATCTAGGAAAAAAAATTTACTTAAAAAAAATTCTTCGGATTGTTCATAAAAGGCCCCTGATTTTTTCAGAATTTTCCGGGGAAAATTTTGGATTTTTGAAAATCGTCAGAAATCAAAAATACCAATAATGATAAAAAAAAATCTTAAAAAATTCAGACATGTTCTTTGAAATATTTTAAGACTTTTATATCGTATAACACTTTTTCGTCAAGTTCTTCATTTTCAAGTAAAAAAATTAAATTATATTTATTTTAAGAACATAATTAGTTTTTATAACTCGAAAATGAAGAACTTGACGAAAAAGGGTTATAAAAGTCTTAGAATATTTCAAAGAACATGTCTGAATTTTTTAAGATTTTTTTTGGATCATTTTTTGTATGTTTGATTTCCGACCATTTTCCAAAATCCAAAAATTTCCCCGGAAAATTCTGAAAAAATTCAGGGGTCTTTTTTAAACAATTCGAAGAACTTTTTGTAAGTAAAGTTTTTTTTCCTAGATGCTTGGTTGGCTTGAAAAAAAATTAACCAAGTTTATACATGGTTTTTTTTTACGAGGCGCCATTTGTTGTCCACCATGTTGAATTTCGATATTGTGACTTTTGGACTTTTATGTCTACACCCCATGGACACTAAAAATAAAAAATTGTTCATGACTTTTGCTCCTCAACTTTTTCAATAATTCTGCGACCGGATTCGAAAAGTTCATAAAATTTCATGTCAGAAATGACTATTTAAACATTTTTCAGATATTTTTTTTACAAAGTTTATAGCACCGGAAAAAATGTGGGAAATTTCGTCCGTTTGGCCCGAAACGGGCTAAATTGAAAGTTTATTTGATCGGACCGTGCGGTAGAACCCCGTATGGCCCAGTGAGAAGGTACAATGTACAGAGGTTTACAGAATTAGGTAAATTGCACAGTATATAAGTACTGTCGTGTCCGTCAGTGGTACAGAGAGTAAAAAATGTTTACGTAGAAAAATTAACAGTTAATTACAAGTTTTATAATATAGTGAAAATGATGATGAATAGACCATGGCGAGCGGCGTGCTCTCATGAGGGGGGAAAATAGTTTTGTTATCCCCACCAACGCTGAGACCTCTGCGTGCGTCCCCACTCAAACAACGTGCACTGCAGCACTCGTCCCCACCTCGCGGCATCAGCCAATCAGCGCGTGGTCGCTGTGTATATAAGCGAGCCACTTTGGCCAACTAGAGACAGTCGTCTCTCGGCAGCCATCCAGAGCACATCGACTCTCGTCTTCGCGTTCGCGTCGACGAGCACTCGAGAGTTTTGACCTAGGGCCACTTCTCAATAGTGAACTTGGTTAAATTACAAAATATTCGACTTATTATTTCAACACCTTTCCCCACCTTTTGACTTTTCAAACTTCCGACTCGGCTGCCAGGTGGCGCAACGCCACTAAAAAGTCGTGCCTGCAAGAGGAAAGGTCGAGTTCAGAGTACTAGTATAAGTGCCCTTTCGACTAAATTAATCAGCTTTTGACTGTTCGACTTGTAACAAGTGAGAATAGAAAAGTGATTGGACTTTTGTCTTTTGACTTTTGACTGTTCAACTTTACAAGTTGGACAGAAAAGTGATCGGCATTTCTGTCACTCAACTCTCGCGAGTCATGTGATAGCTAAGCAGCCCGAGCCGACAACGACGTCGTCGTCCATCCGACCATCACCTCCATGACGGTCAACATCGGTCACAGCCGGTCAACATCAGTCATAGCTGGTCACCGCTGGTCACAGCCAGTTCTTCTGCGCAAATTAACAGCCTGCATCAAAATTAGTCCTTCTCAGGGCTAAACGTAGAGTTTGCAAAACTTGTAAACTACAAGGCAACAAATAACATCGACCCTCTTTAGGGTCACTTGTCATACATCAGTCTGGTGACTGCCAAACGTATTTCTACTCTGTCTGAGTAAACGTGTACGATGTCGGCGAAACTCTGCAAACACACGCAGACTCGCTCGAAATCGTCTCCTCCACAACCCGTTGTACAACAGTTTTTGATTGAGAACCATGACGAATCAAAAACCGTTTCCCTTTTTTATTTAGCTATAACCATCAGTACTCTACGAACAAAGATAGGAGCTTAAAAACGATGATTCTATTCAAAAATAGTTTATGAAAATTAGTCGCTTAAATAGATCACTCCGATTATATTCAATAATAATTATCTTTAGAATGGGTTTTGCGTCCCATTGCGATGAAAACTTGTCACAATGAGTGTTATAAGAAGTTCACGCATATGAAAAAATAAATTTTAATTGTTTATAAAATATTATTAACATAATTTAATGAAATTTAAATGAATTTATATATGTTCCTCATTGAATCGATGATCATCATCAGTTTTTCTCATCGAGAAAACGAATGAAATGTTTTGACAAAATCAAATTGTTTAAATAAATTTTTATAAAAATTCCTTAATTTCGATGCTCCTATCATTGTTCGTAGAGTACGGATGGTTATAGCTAAATGAAAAAGGGCAACGATTTTAGATTCGTCGTGGCTTTCTGAATCTAAAACTATGTCTAGATTATTGATTGTGCCTCATACGCTTGACACTGAGGTTAAGTGCTTTTTTAATACTGTTCCAACCACTGTGCAACGTAGAACCACGTTCGGTCGTCCGCGAAGAGAGTCAGTGGAGGTATGCCGGCAAAAACGCTTATGTCGCCTCGTAAGAGACATGCGGCCGTCCTCCGATCACACGCAGGCAGACTCGTCGGTGGGCTGACTCCACCTGGCGAATGTAGGCTCGCTTTTGTGCGGCTATGCTCTATGTGGGGGCTCCATACAGGAGTATGGAGTCGAAGATGTGACCATACAGCTTACGTCAGCTACTTCTGGGCCCGACAGAGTTGGGCATGATCTTTATGAGAGCACCGATCACACCACCTGCCTTCGCGCTAACTGTTCGAAGGTGGTGATCGAACTTAAGCTTGAGAGACTCGCGAACGAACGTCAGGTCGAAGGATGGACGCCCGCGGTCTAGTCACCCTACATCTCTACTCCGTCGACCATGCGTTGAAGTCCCCCGCAATGACAACGGGCCTACTGCCACGGGCCTCCTCAGTGATGTTTTCAAGGAAGGCAGAAAATTCCATCTAAGAGAGTCTTGGTGGAGCGTAGACGCTGAAAAAGAAAATTCCTCCGATTCAGGCCCACGAGAAGTAAGGATGCACTCTCGCCAGGCGCTCCTGCAGCGGACTTCCTCCCTGCAGCCAGATAACTGCTTGACCATTGGCATCGGCGAGCCATGTGTTGGGTGGAGCAAGGTTCTTGTATTGCTCACACAGGATGGCCACGTCGATGCGCAGCTTGCTGATAGTATCGCAGAGCAGGTCCTAGGCAGCCTCGCAGTGATTGAGATTGAGCTGGAAGATTCTCATCATCGGCGGGCTTGGGTGATCTTCCGTGCAAAAGGGCAGCTCGAACTTGTGGACGCGTGACGATGGTTGTCAGCTCCTCGTTCTTGGTTGAGAACGCACGCCGGTTGGCCTTTGCAGTCCTTTGCTTGATGGCCCTTCTGAGCACATCGATAGCAGAGCTTCGTGCGGTCGGGACCCTTGCAGCGAGCGGCCATATGACCAGGACTCCAGCAGCGGTAGCAGCGCGCAGCCTCCTCGCGACCACGGATGCGACAATTCACCCAGCCGATCCTTATATGGCCGAGCTTCGGCGCTGTGGCCGCCAGGTTGTCCGGTAGTGCGACTACAGCCACCTTTGTTCCTGCGTATGCCTTTCGCAGGGACTTCACAGGGTCGCGTTTAGACACCGGAACGCCCAGCAGAGCGTCCAGTGCCATGGTGATCTCCTCCTTGGTGACACACTCATCCAAGACCTTGATCTCGATCCTGGACACGTGCGGCAGGGCACTGGCTATACCCGCAGCGCCAAGCACTTTACCAAGCTCTTCACCGAGGTTGGGGGTGTTATCTACGCCTTTCTTCAGTTGCAGCACTAATGCACCCGTTGCACTGCGTCTGATGTTTTTTACGCTGCTGCCGACTGTCTGCTGTAACGGTGGCTATCCTTTGAGTTTCTTCAGGATGTCGGTGAACGTCGGATATGTAGACGGATCATTTGGACGCGGCTTCTGAGGCTGGCAGGCAAGGTCACGTTCAGCACTGGATGGCACCTGGGGCTGTGGCTTGCGCTGGTGACGTCGTCGATTGTCCACAAGGACGTAGTTGACGAATTCCTCGGCCACGTTGTTGTTCTCATCCGACCGTCTAGGACCTAAAACACCCGTACCACGCTTTGTCGATACGCGCATTTCCAGTGACGATTCCGCAGGCCGCTTGCTCATCGCACAGACCGAGAATAGAGGGGAAGTGCAGACCGCCTTATCTGCTCCGGGAGGGCGAGGTAGCACTTGGCTCCCAAACGACTTCTCCAGCGCCGAGAAGTCCATACCAAGGCTCGGTTGCTAACTGAACACCTCTCTATGGAGGTTAGTCCTGCAACGCAAGAACCGGCCAAGATCCAGTATAAGGCCGCTCAGCCGTACCATCTTATCCTCAATGGTTCCAGTCGCAAATTCACCGATAGACGGGAGCTTGGCATCCTTCTGCTTGCAATGCAAAGGAGCGACGATTTTTTTCTCCATAATCGCTTTCACCATTGTGAAAGGAAACGTCCACGTCGACGGCAGTGGGCTATTCTCCGTCAAGCTCGGCACGCCAGACTTCTCGATTGACTTCTGCTCCTGCGGGCTCTGCAGCCCGTCATTCACGGCTGTTGTCATGCCGCGAGTCGCACATGCCTTCGGTGTTTGCACTACAGCACGAGTCAAGAACTCACACTAACGTGCGAAGCTCACACCGACAACTCAATACGCGAGAAAACACGGAACAGAGTAAAAAATACCACTACTGCTGTATACGCACAGCTACAAAACTGCAAACACATGTACCGACGCGGCGCGTCAAGCTGCACACTTGGTGCTCACACAGATACTTCGGCACTACGTATGACCGCATTAGGAATTAAAAACACAGGAGCGCGAGCTACACACGTCCTACCAGCTTCCTAGTCCAAGAGCGAATCCTGTGTGTGTGTGTGTTTTACCCACTCGAAACCGTCGTTAAACCTGACGATGTTATCCAGCTCGATTTCTTCTTGGAGGACTTGTTGAAGTCTCTCCATTTCTTCGTTGAATCGCGGGCAGCGAAAGAACACATGTCTGCGTCTTCTATTGTGTTTAGGCAGGCTGTGATGTTCGGAATGAGCTGGTGTGTCCATCGGCCTTTTGGGGCCCAGTCCCACCGGTCCTGTCACCTTCTCAGTGTCTCTCTTCTTTCTTCTTCCTTGACCTCCTCCGGGTGGCGCTGAAATATGCGCGCTCGCTCATCCACTAGTAGGGCCAGCGGCGGTACGCTGGCTATCACGTACGTCGCGTCGTAGAAGACGTGTAGTTGCCCGCTGATCACGCGCAAGCAAGCTTGTCGATGTACGGCCTCCGCTTGACAGATGTAGGCCTGCGTCTCCGTCGCACATCTCCAGATGGGCGCTCCATACAGGAGGATCAAGTCGACGACGTGAGCATAGAGTTCTCGTCGGCTTTTTCTGGGCCCAACGGTGTTGGACATGATCTTCACGAGGGCTCCAGCCACTCTTGCTGCCTTTTCGCTGACGATTCGGAGATGTTGGTCGAACCTCAGCCTGGAGTCAATGTGCAGGCCCAGGTAACGGATGTAGGGAGACTACCTTATACTGCAGTCATCCACTGTGATGGTAATGGTTTCCATATTCTTACTGCTAGTGATCGGTAGGGCCTAGGTCTTATGGTCAGCCGTTACAAGGCTGAGCTCATAAAGCGTGCGTAAATAATGAATAATTTTGGTCTTATATCGAATTATAAAAAATTTATAATTTCTCTGCTACATAAATAAAATGAAACTTTCATTTTTCATTTAAACAATAAATCATTTTTGATAAAAGTTATCTGAATCTAACAGAAATGAGTATATTTTAGCATTATTTACGTGAGAGATTTAATATGCATTCATAATAATACTGCAGCGGGCGTTTGATTTATAACTTATATAGACTTATTTACAATACCTATAACTATGAATCTCACTCGTATTGAACAAAAAAATTTGATACTATTCTCATAGATATAATTTCCACAATGTTTCTACAATACATGTTTAGGTTTCAGCTCCATTAAGCGTTAAGAACATGTAAAATTATACATTGGAAAATTTTTGTTGTACAAACAATATTACATGCGACGTTATGAACATGTTCAGTCCTCACCGAACGCGCATACACATGTACAACTGCTAAACATGAGACAATCGCGAATGGGCGAGCGCGCGCGCGAAGTAACTTCAATTCTCCGAAATACGATATGCCGGCCGGCTCGCGTTTAGTGTAGCATACGTACGATGCCCAGTTCGCTCATGGTTTAGACCAACACAGTGATTCACGCACACTCCCCTCTACTTCGCCGTTGTACAGTGTATGCGTGATTCCCAGCACCAACAGGCGCTGTCGTTCGGCGGCTCTGAGCCGCACTTACAATTTGCACAGCGCACGGCGTGTAACCATTCATTCACACAACGCACGGCGTGTAATATATTCATCCGCAACGAGCATAGAGTGCACAACCATCCAAATTTTGTTCAGTTTTAATAAACAGAGGTTTTTTTGCATATTTTTTCCTCTTAATTCCGAGTGTTTGTTTTTTATTCTCCCATATTTTTGAATTACGAGATTTCGCATGTAAATGCGAAATTCTCGACGAAACAGAACAATTATATTTATATTAACAATGATTATACAAAAATGAAGTATAGTCGTCAAGTCGCTAATAGCTCGCCCGCACGGCATTATTAGGCGATATCACGATTTCTAACTCGCTGTTAAGGTGGGAAAAACCTAAAATCTCAAAAACAATTTTTTTGCTTATTGACTTTTACAATCGGATTTTTTCTCAGCTTTCCAGTGTCGTAATCAGAATTTTTTAATTTTGATTTTATCGAGAGGTGCAGCTTATTTAGTACCGATACTTTTATGATTATTATAGCAGAAATACTTGCCTCGAAATAACTATTTGCTCTTAGTGATAATGCTACATTTATTCATTCATTGACTTATACAATCGATTACCTTGCATCGATCAATCATCCTGGCAAGTTAAGCTAAAGTGTAAACAGATTTAACTAGTGCTTTTAACTATGATATTATACGGTCGCCCCCGGTATATGCCGTTTTGGTATACACGGATTTCGCTTATACGCGGTTGGCCAAATGTTCATTCCCTCGCTACACGCGGATGTTTTGAGCTGAGGCAATGTTCATGATACTATATGTTTATTTTATTGTTATCATTATCGTAATCTCTCGGTACACTTATTCAACAATTTTCTCAAAATAGCTTCAACAAGCTTCCAAAATATCCTGCAGGACTCTGAAATTTTCCACCCTTAGCCCAATAAAGTATCTATCTGTCTATCTCTCTTGTATGGCATACACCAAGCTTTGCTTGCCTAATTCCACGCCATACGTGAGTAAGTTGTGACTTGAGGGAAAAAGGGAAAAATAAAATAATAGTACAATATTTTATTGCTAGTTAATTGTAAGAGATCGGAAAAAGGTAAGTTCAAGAAACGTCGCGAACGTTGGTGAAATGAGACTGGCTTGAGGGAGTCGCTCGATATGTGCCTAGAAGAGCGATTGTGACGGGCCTCCAAGATGCAATGCACTAGAAATTAAAGTACGTGACTCATGTCTGATTAAATGAATAAATCCTATTCATTGTCCTAATCTTAGGGAAAATAATTAATTTCTCTGTACTTTTAAAATAAAAGCTCTGAAAAAATTAACACAACAATTTTGGAACACCTTGTTAAGAATACATTTTTCTAATTAATCAAACTTATTCACATTCTCAAATTACTGCTGAATCCAAGTGACATAAAAAAATTTTTCAGATAACACATTGGCAACATCCAAGGTTTCATGCCTACTTCCCATCAGGAAATTCTTTTCCTTCTATTCTCGGTGATATGTTATCTGATGCTATAGGATGCATTGGATTTTCATGGGTAAGTTTTTAAATACATTTAAATTTCTACATGGGTCGGTAGATTTAAATTAGATATAAATATTTATTGATTATAATTTTCGAAAATTTACTTTTTTAACTCTCTCCAAATAAACAACGATTTTAAATTGAATGTAAGTGTAAAGCTCACGCAGTTAGCGGAGCTTAATTCTTTCTAGGAAATAGTCAGGTGAAGTTAATATAGCAGAGTCTTCAATATAATTTTATAGCATTGCTTGGCATAAGTTCACACTTATGGCACGCTTTTTTGTGGCATGAGTTTCACATTCTGGCATAGCAGTGGTCCCATCGCACTTGCTGCGTTCGTGCGCTAACCTCACTCCGCAGTACCAGAAAGGGCGACTTTTAACTCGGAAAAGAGGACATAAATGTGAACTTAGCACAGTGCTATAAAACAGTGTACTGTACACGTGTCATAATGTAATATTACTTGATCTTTATTTGTTATAAATAATATTGCAAGTATAGTTAAAATTTACAAACAACATAACTAGCACGTTACGCTGTCCCAGCACTCTTTCCACTTCAGCAGGATAATTATATGTAAGCTATTGTATTAAGCACAATTAAGAGTCATGGGGCTCTTAGTAACTGTCTGATTGTTATGGATGATTATCATGAAGGATAGGAATATAAATGAGCGTATTTATATTAGATATAGAAAGACAGTTACAGAAGACCCAACGTATGTAAGTTCCGACTTTTGTATTGATTCAGGTTCGTTATTGTTAACTTTGTAAATAATGTTAAATATTAATTGTTGAATGAATTCTATGGTTATTTTACTGCAACAATTACGTCAAGCTATTTAAATAATCGCCACACTAATATATATTGCATACAATCTTTCTTATGTTGTATCTTCCATACAGCAATAGCAGCAAATGCACGTATATAAGTAAGTGTGAGTGGGCATACTGCAAGTCGTGAAGCCCATGACATTTAAGATTTTATAACAGGAAATCGACCGGGCAGATCCGTGAGATGTAAGAGCAGATTGGGTTTAGCTGAGGGAATAGTCGTGCTTTATAATTTTTACAATAAATTGATTTATTCAATATTAAAGCTAAAGACACACAAAAATAGTTAAGATTAAATCAGGCAATAGCTCGTGATGACAAGTAAAGGAATAAATTGAGTTGGCTTCTGCCAAAGATAAAATTCGCGCGCGCACGACTATGATTTCCGCAAGCCGCTGCGCTGCTCTGTGTGCGAAGAGAGAGAGAGAGATTACTTTTAAGTCGAACAGGTACTTACAATCATCTGTCAGCCTATCGGGATGGCTCGCATGGCACCCTTGTAATGTAAGGCCCTTGCACCCACGCACAAATCCCCGTGACTCGACTTATCAAATCTAATTCGTAATTGGGAAGTTACAATTTAATATTAAGGCAAACGTATGCCTATTAACGTGGCAAGCGGGATCAAAGCCAGTAACAGTCTCGGCTCGCGGGCCTATATATCCTAGGCGCGAGCCTCGAAATCATCTCTCTCACCCCTCTCGTCGTACACCAACGGCACCGCCACTTGTCGGCCGACGATCTGTCGTGCTGAATTAGAAATACATATCATTTATGATTAACTAAAATTTATATCAATTGCCGGGAGAGAGTCTAACGAATAGTATATTCGTTACACCCCCCCCTCCAGACGCACGGTAGCCTCGGCGTACCTGCTCGACTATAACCTCTCTCTCGTGGTAATTGCTCTTTTTGGTATTATTACCTTTCATTTATATAGGCTGTACTGCCCTACTATCATACTCGCTACTAAAGAATTACTATTTTAATAGATTTGGAAACCCCTATACTTCCAGTAATGATATTTTTATTGGACAAAGTTTTTCAAATTACAAATAAATAATTTAATGCCTATTTTATTTGGCAATCTAGCCTAAAAAGGAAAAAGGGTAAGGTTGTGATTGGTTTTTGTTTCTCATTTGATCACGCAATTACACAACTCATCAAAAAAAATAAATGTTGTGATTTTTACACAGGTTTAGCAACTCAATCATATTCTTGAACATTATTTTTATAAAAACACAAAAAAATATATTAAAAAGATAAAGTAAATTAAATTATATGGCCTATCGCCAGGAAAAAAAACAAAGAAAAAGATATATAATACCCTATATAGGTTTACAAAAACAAAAATTATCTTCAGGCTTTAGCCTACTCTTCGTCTTGTTTCGTTTGGCCTTCTTTCTTCGGCCCAGTCGGACCTACAGCTGCTACCTCACGTTTGCGATGTGGCTCGAAGTAATGCACCTCTCGACGTGGGCATACTGCCGCTCTCCTCACTCCCAGGCAGTTGCATACAGAGCACGTTTACACATATCCCTGCAAGGAGTGCGTCGGCTTACGGGTCGCCACTTCGGGGAAACTAGCCTCCTTCATTGAGTCTTCATAGGCTCTTGTGGCGGCCAACAGCGCCGCCCTGGCCTTGGCCAAAGTCTCTTCCAATTTCTTTTTCGCCTGTTCGGCCCTTACTTGTTTTATCTTCAGTTCGGCGATCTGGACTTCACGCGTCACCCGCTCTTCTCTCCGGCTTACTATAACTCGCCAAGCCGCATCGCGTTCTTGCCTAAAGGAGTCGGTTTTCCACACCCAATCACCGGCCATTTTTAAGCCTTCTTCTCCGTAAGACTTAATTAAAACGCCGTGAAGAAAAAGAAACCTGTATGAAAAACTAAGATATTTTCGAGGTGATTCGTTAAATCGTGATTCGATGAGATGTGTTTTTCTTCACGGCATTTCCATGAGGTGTGTTTTTCTTCACGGCATTTCGATGAGGTGTGTTTTTCTTCATGGCGGTTGATAGAGGTATGTTTTTCTTCTCAGCATTTCAATGAGGTGTGTTTTTCTTCACGGCATCCGACAAGGTGTGTTTCTTTCATGGCATTTTATAAAAAGGTTTCCTTTCATAGAGTTTTTCACTGTGTTTTTATTCATAAGCAGCTGCGATATATTGCGACGGACGGCTGACCCCGGGGTAGGGAAAAGCAGCAAATCGCCTGCCGTCGAATAAATTTATTATGGGACCACCTTACCTGGTCACTTACTCTCAGAGGGGATATTGGGCCCGTTGTCAGTGCGAGCTTGCTGTAGACTCGCTGACTCACCGTTGAATTCTGGCAACTTCTACTGAAAACCGCGAAAAGTATTGTCGCGAAATAAATAGGCTATGTTGTAAATTAAATACGGTACTTTATTCAATTCAAGGCCCAATTGGCCGGAAAACCACTTCAAATTACCCAACGGGCGATGATTTACAATGTGACGCGACGAGGCGCAAGTTTGACCTAATCTTACTTCCGACTTTGCCCACCAGGGGCGCGCGTGACGCTCGCGTCAATCGTATCTCGTGATACGAGCCTAATCGGCCGAGTCAATATGGCCGCTGCGCGCGCGATCTATGTGACGATGTCGAGTGCACGTGTACCGACGTGACGTGGCACTCGCACGTTGATCTCGACGAGGCGTTGCGTACGTGGCCGCGGGCGATCCGCCCTCATGCGACCGGCCCGAATGTCGACGTACACACACGCACACCAATACTCTGCTTGCTGCGTATCGCCGCTGCGATACTCGTCAGCCAAGCTCGAACACACACAATCACACGCCCGCGACCCGGCAGTCGCGTCGACCAATAACTCGCAAATACTCTTAAGAACTAACCCCAAATCTTCGGCGCCTCGACGTTGGATCGGCTCCGTTTCTCAGCCGATTCTCGGCCCTCGTCCGGGTGTCGGTGGGCACGTGCGGCGACGATGTACGCTCTGACGCCCACGTCTGGGTGGCGATGTCCAATTTGGTCTGCACATGTACAGTCACTGGCAAAGGCCCAACTGGGTGAAACTCGCACTGGTGCACTGGCTTGCACAGGCCCGGTTGGGCGGAACTTGCCTAACCGGCGAACTTTCACACGAGCGCACGCACGACAATTAGTCCTCCTGGGCAATCTCGCACACGTATCTTTAGGTCGGCTTTTTTATATCTGCCGTCTCCTACGAGCACAAGACGCGGTGACTTTTTACTTTTCTACTGTCGCACTTCGTCGGCGATAACCTCGAAACTCTGCGCGTTCAATGGCTGCCGTGTGTAACTCACGTGTCTCGACGAGTTTAATATTCAAGAGTATTCAGTTAAAATTTTAAGCCAATCGGAGCAAAATTATCTGAGATATAAGCATTTTAATGCACGTGCAAAAAGGAAGGAGGACTGGACCTCAAAATCTTTAAACGCGTTTCCTGAACAATAGCATTTTCAAAGACGGTGTACATCATATCTCAAAAACTGATGGACCGATCTTTTTGAAATTTCAAACTGTTATTTATTAACTATTTTACTAGTTAGTGACATCAAGATATTTTCATTTTTTTCCAACTATTTTCCGAAAAAAAGTGCACTTTTTCGTTTTTTTCCCATATTTTCAACTTCAAAATAACGCCAAATTTTTAAAAATGAAAAAAGTTAAAAAACTCGACTTCGGTACCTTCAGAATCCTCTAAACTAAAACAAAAATGTTATGGAGCTTGTTTCTGATGATTCTGCCAGGAATTATCGTGTACACCGCATTTTTCGACGTGTTTTCTTCAAACCAATGCAACAGGCTCATTTTTCAATATTTTCCAACAAAAATTTAGCTGAATACTTTTGAAGTGATGCGTTTTAGCGTACAAATGAGAGTGCAATAATGAGTGCTGTAATGTATAGATTAAACAACAATTGTTTTACTTCAGTTACTTTATGCTTTATTTATGAATTACATAATAGGAATGTGGTACAGATAGTGAGAGCTCTCGAGTGCGCCCGTGCCGGTACAATACTGACTCGTTCGGAGCACGGTGTGTACGTACACGATGTGAGTGCGCATACGTGTGGGCTCTGGTGACTATACCACAAGTGCAAAGATGAGAGTGAGAAAATTAGTGCAATAATGAGAGAGAAAAAAAATCGATAACAATACATTTTCATTACT